CTAAAAAAAATGAAGGCCACTGGTCAAAAGTTGACTTCAACTACGTCCGTGAAAAAATGCACAATTAGATATCATTACTACAATAATCACGTTTAAATGAATTATTATGTGCAATGCAATACATACAAATATACATGCACACCATACTCATCTCAAGGCCAGGATAGTCAAAAGAATTGAGCTGTTCAAGAAAAAGAAATTTAGAATTTTAGTTTGTGTGAAATAAGCTAATGAGATGAATTATTATTCAAATCTTTAAATTTATCAGCTTCAAACACAAAAATTTGAAGAGAATTTCTATTTAACAAAGTTGACCAGGATTAGCTGACGATCCAAGGCTTTGAAGGTATTTATTGCCATGCCATCAACTATTGGAAACCTGAACAAAACGAACAGGCCGGGAGAGCGATTTTTCCACATCTATTTTTTATTATTGCATACTCATAACATTTGATTTTTTTTTAGTACAACAATATATTTTACATTAAGAAGAATGAGAGCTCGGTTTAAATTACTTAATGAACAACCTAATTTGTTATTGAATTTTTCATCTATGAGATACGAACTTAAAACCCCTCACTTACAAGTGAAGAATAATATCACCAGACTATATGAAATTTTGAATGAGTGAATACAAAAATCATAAAACAAAAATACTGAGATTTTATAGTATATTTTGGGGTGCCTTGTATTTTAATTTTTAAGCAATAAATTTTTGGTAAATGATTATGATACAGTATTCCTTCAATATCACACACCTTTTTTACATTATACACACCGTTTTTAATTTTTAATTATCAAATCAAATAAATTAAAAATAATTAAACAACAAATTTAAAAAAAATGTATAAAAAGTAAAAAAGTACCTGTAAATATCACCAACCTAAAAAAATCATGCAGATTGCAGAGCGTGGCATACTTTTGACAAGATGGAACGTAGCCAGTTAACCCTAGTTTGAAACTAGTAGTTTAGTTAGATCAGCATGACACCTCTCCTCTCTGTATTTGGTTTGAGTTTGATTGACAGAAGACTTGAAAAATACTATAATTTGCTTTTTAATTAATTCAATTCATATTTTTATTGGCCGACGTCTTGTCCTTTCAATTTTGTATTATCTCCCCACTAATCAATCTAAATCTAATTTTTTTCTTATCTTGCATGATCACATCAAAAGAGACAAATTGAGAGACGTGTGTGGATAAGAACTTCAGTTGGAAAAAGGACCAAGATGAAAACGATGGAATTCACCCTACGCCAAGGCGGACGAGAATTGTTTGCCCTCCGCTTCCTATATTCTTTTTTATTTTGTGTGGTCACTCACGCTTAAATCACGTTAACATTTTATGTTATTTCTTTTTATAGATATAATAAGATAAAAATAAATAATAATATAAAATATTGACGTGGCTTAACCGTGATCACATAAACAGAAGAACAGTGAAAGAGCACCAGAAATGAAAGGCAGACAATCCTTATCCCGGCTGCTTCAACATTGACCATAACCTAATTTACTCGTGAAGGAGATTTTTTTCAAGATCTAAGAGTGGCCCATCATTAACCGCACAATATTTTCTCATACTTGTATTGTATATATCACATATTAATATTGTATGTGTGAGATTTTATCTTAAAAGATTTATGAAATGTATATTACGTCTGGAACTATTTGGTATCATGTTGTTTTTTTTTTGTTGCAATTTTTTTTTCATTTTTCAATGATATTTCTAAACACGCGTTCAAGCTTCTGGCTGATGCATAGGTCGTGGCTAAGAAGCAGATTTATTGAATTGATGAGAATGTGAAATGAATATAATTGAAGTTTATAACTTTATGTACTTTTTTAATGAATTTACAAAGTATTTTCTTAAACAAATGCTCATAATTTTTCCAAGTTAATCCAGAACAATTAGTGATTCATATGTCACTAACGTGCTTAACTATTATAAATACAACCTGTTAAAACGTCCACCCATACACTAAACATTTGTTAATGCAGGAGCATAAATGAAGATAAAGATTAAGGGTCCTACACCTAAGAAAAGTAAGTATATAGATGTGTGTGTATCGTCTGCCACAAATCAACAAGGCTTTCATATTGTAACAGAAATAAAAACCTTCATATATACTTTCCTTTTAAAGCGATGAATGCCTTTTAGTTTGCCTTGTGTAAGAGTTTGGTATTGTTTCCATCTCGATTGTTCTTCTTCTTTTGTGCTTATTTACCTTTTAATTTTATTTTCTATGTCTCACGTCGACGACGTCCCTTTCATGCACGAGAGGCATAGTTAGTAATTGTAGTGGGCAAGCAATCAACACTCCATTCAACCTGAAGTTTCATCTGCTTTGCTCCAGAATTTGCCTCCTCATGGGAATGTGTAGTACAAGTCCAGCAAGATCAATCGCACCTCATCACTCAAAGAAAAGAAAAACGCTTGGATTCTAATTTATATGTGTGCAAACATGGACGAGAAAAAAAAATCATAAAAATGGTAACAGTTGTGTTCCAAGAATCCTTTGCACAGGTATTAGGTAGGTTTAGGTTTCATAAAGTAATAGAGAGAAGCGTGAAAAGTGCAGTTTAGGTATTCAGTATTCTTCAGAAAGATTAAAAAAAACTGTTGCCGGTACCATATGGCTGTTCGACCAAAATGCAGTGGAGTCAGAATGCAAGGGAGAAGTTTGAATGAGAAGAGGTTCTTGTGTGAGGTCGCCGAATGTAGTGAGCTATGAGTGTGGCGTGAGAAGGGGCGGGACATGAATGATGACAATGAAAATATCTAACAAGGATCGCTGCTCATACAATGGTGATTGGTAGATGAAATTAAGTTCCTCACAATCGTTGTTTGTTTTAGAATAATGCTAGGTAAATCAATCTTTCAATCATATTCGTAAATTATGTAATGTGTCATTAATACAAAAATAACATATTAAATAATATTTAAATAATAATCTAATCATAAAAAATTACGTTTTACAAGTAAATTGTCTCTCTCTAGTACAACGTACTTTTACTTTTAATCTTTCATCGAGTGGTGGTGGATACTTAATTAGTTTACTACTATGTTTAGAGAAAACCCCATTAAAGAAATAAAATAGTTTTAAGAGCTTCAAAAGAAGATAACAAAGGGATTTTGTCTCTCCTCCTCGCTTTCCAATACTGCTAAATAAAGAATTAATCTGTCCAAAAAGATGGATAAAGGATTCGACCAAAAAAAAAGTTTTACTTAAAGGGGGAAAACACACAGACAGGTCATGCAGTGCGCCACGTACATGATCATGACATACGATAATATTAGGGCATATATGATAGTTGAGTGGGGTCGATGGCCCCCATTTCCTAAATTTAAGTCGACCTAGCACATTTAGAAGATGTGAATTAACTAAAACTTTGTATGATATAAAGAAAAATGAGATTCGATCCGAAGCTCTATCAACTCCTCCTCAATTTATAGCAGGATAATTAAATAATAGAGTTTCATTTTAGCAAAGCAATGACAAAAATTATTGAATTAATTGAACAAGCATGTACAAAAGGGATTCAAGTACAAAATTGCAAAGTGTATCGACAGAAAAGAAATTGCACATGTTGAATGGATCTGAGAAGGTAGAATCCCTCTACAAACTATTTGAGCTAAAAATTGATTATTGTTCCTATGCATTTTGAACTATCTACAGGGTATTAGACATCAAAATTTGGATAATTGTAGACAAGGAATAATAAGAACTTGCTGCACTTTCCTTACAAGGATCTATCAGACTATCTCGTTTAAATAATAAGCAGTCATGTCACTTGACCATTATCAAACCTACTGTAATATTTTTTGTCCTATTTTTAAATTATCTTATTTAATTGAACGAGATTTCTCAAAAATTTAACATTATGTATTATTTATGCATTATAAAGACGTTCGGATTGATAAATAACATTTCATGATTGTGTTTCGTATACCAAATAATTGCTCGTTCAGTGTGAGCTTTGAGCAACAAAAAACTCTGTATAAAGTTGATGCTTAATTCCAAAAACACGAATAAAAAAGAGATTGAAATTGATTAGCGATTGAAGCATAATTGTTGTTTTGGGCTGGCCTTGTCCCTATCGTGTGGTTCGAACGTATCCACCACACCATACTTTGATCATATCTTCACTTGGAATAATCATCAATCAATCAATCAGTCAAATTATTGAATATAAGAACAAATTCATATGAGACGCGCCGTCCATGTGGCTTTCCTCCTCTCTCTCTCTCGACTGATATTTTCCATGGAATTAGGAACTCTCTTTTACTGATATTTTTCATGGAATTAGGAATTTTAATGAAAATCTTCTTGTGCTATTTATTTTAACGAAAAATCATATTTTTATACTAAAAAGTTAATTATAATACTATTTATTTTACTTTTTATTTTATCTTTATCGTTAAAACTTAAAGTTTTCAAATCATTTTTATTACTTTTCCTATTAAAACATATGCTAATGTTGCAACTGATTCTTCTATACATTATCAAACCCAATTCATTTGCAACCGCTTTACATAGGGTGAATCTTGGGTAGGATTGCTGTATGTTTTGAAACTGATTACGCACTAGAACAATGAACGGTTGAATTTGCAGTCATCAAAACGGGTAGATAATTGAAACAAAATATAAACGAAAGAGGGGGAAGAGATCCTCTTCAGATCTCTCCCACCAAAGCCACCAAGTCCACTCATTTAGATTCTTAAAATTTGATTCAACGAGTAAAATTATTATAACTTTTTAGGGACATCTGTTTGTTGGATCAAATTTTAATGATCCAGATGAGTAGACTTGATGGTATCTCTTTCCCAAAAGAGGCACACAAACTGACTTTTTGAGCACAACTCCGACAACAAGTCAACCATCCATTTTATTTGTTATTGTAAGTTTGTCCATTTACTTATTGGGCCTCAGAGGTTTCTTGATCCATTTTTATTGGGCCTAAGCTGAGCCGCGCTATGTTAACTACTCGTACCACCGAGCCTCCGCCCGCATCTAACTTTTGTCTTCTCGGACTTGTCGTGGCGTCTTTGTCTCCCACCAAAAACTGAAAAGTTAGTTGACTAAACCGGCGGCTTCTGAAAACATGGGTGTGGCGGCGAAAATAGCCCCGTCGATGCTGTCGTCGGACTTCGCCAATTTGGCATCGGAGGCCGAGCGCATGCTCAAATGCGGCGCCGATTGGCTCCACATGGACATCATGGTACGCCCTCAATCCATCTGTTCTGTTGTCCGATGAATTTCAATGTTTTTTCATTAATACCATGTCTAGTGTTTGACAAAAACCTCGTATTTGTTTTGCAGGATGGGTAAGTTTGACTTTTGTTGTTGTTGCTGTTTTAGTAATTCCCAATTTCTCATGACTCTCAAGTGGCTGCCAACGAATTGGGTTTGCTAATTCCTTTTTTTTTTTAACAAATTTATTTACTTGGTTAACTTTGATACAGTGAGTAGTTAATGATTGGATAGATTTTGAAAATTCTGTTAAGACTTGGAGCAAAACCGAGCGTAGTGGTATTCTAGGATTCATACAGCCCGACCGACATGATCTAGTGGGATAAGGCTTTGTTGTTGTTGTTGTTGGTATTGTTATGATAATTCTGTTAGCTACTGGTTAATAATTGGATTAATGTGTGATTTTTCGTATTCAAGTCGACATCTTTGCATAATCTATCCATGAAGTTGCTTTCTTTGAAAAATTTCGTATGTGCTTACTGAAGACATTGTAATTAATTGATGTTTTATGTTAATCGCAACGTTTGCTTTTTCTCACAAATGTAAATAGTGGGTGGTCTTGTATTCATTTATCTTTCTTACCAACAGGCACTTTGTCCCGAATTTAACACTCGGTGCTCCGGTCATTCAGAGCTTGAGAAAGCACACAAAGTAACTACCTTGACATTGTTTTATGTTCATTTTTATCAAGTATAAATGGATGTTGGTATGATGGTCTCGTTCCTTTTTTCGCCTACAGGGCGTATCTTGATTGTCACCTTATGGTCACAAATCCTCTTGATTATGTCGAACCTATGGGAAAAGCCGGTGCTTCAGGTTTTACATTTCATGTTGAAGTATCTAAAGGTTGGTTGTGGTCGGAAATTGGAATGTTCCTATTGTACTTCCTTTACCTGTTCTTGTGGTATTTTCTTGATACAAAAGGGACTCCCTACTTTTCCTTCATTATCTTTCGTTATCCTTGTTTATGCAGACAATTGGCAAGAACTTGTTCAAAGAATTAAGTCCAAAGGCATGACGCCAGGTGTGGCATTAAAGCCCGGAACGCCAATTGAAGAAGTTTATCCTCTGGTCTTGCTTCTTTCTTTGTATCTAAACCCCCCACCCCATATAGTTTTGGTGTATATGTATTGATTGACCAGGCTTACTTGCATGACATTTAGTGACCTAGGAAAGACAATCTGATCTTTTGTCATCGTATCCATTGTTTAGTATTCAGTAACTGTCTAATCCGGAGAGACATTTTAATACGGAAGATATTCAAATGATGTTTTGTTATTTACAGATAGAAGGTGAAAATCATGTTGAAATGGTTCTTGTTATGACGGTAGAACCTGGGTTCGGGGGACAAAAATTCATGCCAGAAATGATGGAGAAGGTGCGCACACTAAGACAAAGGTACCCTTCGCTAGATATAGAGGTAAGTCAATAATCCCATATGTTTCCTCTCAACACACATTTTAAGGGTTGTTTCTTCCGGGGACAGGTACTAAAGTTCCTTTCATTCTCATGTCACAGGTAGATGGTGGCTTAGGACCTTCAACGATTGACGTGGCAGCTTCAGCCGGAGCCAACTGCATAGTTGCAGGCAGTTCCGTGTTTGGAGCCCCTGAGCCTGCGACAGTAATATCCCTTTTGCGAAGTAGCGTTGAGGGAATTCAACAGAAAAGTTGATACTGGTATGGGCAAGCAGACATCATAATTTGTTTTTATTTTATCAACATACATTTACAGTGTGTACCTCTATGATCGAATTGACATAGTTTTAAAAATGTGATGAGTCTGCGGATGCTTTTTACATCTTACATTTCTTATGTCGTACTTGAATATCATGACATCCCTCGGCTGGCAATTCCTTGATACATTGCATACATTTATGTCGATCTTTTTTATTTGTTATCGCTCATCGGATTGCTTGAGGCTGTATAAATACAACCGTACTGACGATATGTTCATTATCTTTAGGGATTTGTCTCAATCATTCATCTTAGTAGTCAGTTTTCGAAAGAGGTTATAAGGTGAATTTAGCCTCACTATGGCCGCCTTGTAAAGAGAGACTTGCATGCAACAAGGATGCCACCGAGTCATTATCTCAAATCAATCACTCACTGTCATCCGTTTTATTTTTTTCACATGGCGATACGTGAATGGTTTGGGTTTACCGACTTGGTAGCATTTTTGTGCATGGAAGTTCTTCCCTACAAGGGAAATCTTCAGTTGCTTACGTTGGGAATGTTTGGTTAAAATCGTTTCTCAGCAAATTTTCTCCAGACAATCCTGTATTCGACGTTAGCACATGTTTATTTTATATCGAGATTATATTGTTCTCCAGATCTGTGGAGTATAGAGCACGTGTACCAGACATCATATGCGATCTGAACACAATGTTTGCATTTGGCATCCACTATTGAATTGTTACATAAAACTAGTATTTTTTTTATTCGAGGAAGATGTAAAAGTGGAGGAATGCTAAGAGACTTTCGTAAAAGTGATTCCGTCATCTTACAATGTAACGTCAATTCTCATGCTAATATTATAAAACAGTACGTCAAAAACATGATGCGGCAGAGTTTATGAAGAGTTTCACTTTGAAGAGAATCATTAGCATTTCTCAAGTTATGTTATCCATTTTTGGGAGGGAAGAAATTACTTTAGGAAGACCTATAAAAAAAACATAATGAAACGCTTAATTACATATTTAATGAAACAGAAAAGTGAGAGATCGGATCGATACCTATTACCTATTAGGAAGGAGGAAATCAAGTTCTATTTTTTTATTAACAAGTTTAATCTCACCTGAGCATTGTCGTATAGTACACGTGCGGCCGGACAGTAACGTAACTTTGTTGTGGATGCGCGGCGGGAGAGGAGAAAATCGCGACTCCCAACTTGTTATGTCGGCAAAGGCATTAGGTTACATCTTTAGGCATGCTCCGAAGTCCCAAGTTGATACTTTGGTTATTATTGTTGACCAAAAGGGAAGTGGTCAGCATGTGTTATCACGTGCCATCCACTGTTGGCCTCTTTCGTTCGTCCATTGCGACTTGGATTTCTTGGAACCGGATCCCATCCGGACTCAAAAAATCTGAACCTAAGGATCAAATAATTTGGGTAATTGAAATTTAATCCAACTGTTATAAATAGAAAATATCTTTAAAGTTATAATAATTGTAACTGTTTGATTAAATTTCAATGGTCCAGATCATTTGATCCTTGAGCTTAGTTCATTTGGATCCGGAGGGGATCCGGTTCCGGATTTCTTAACTTAAATCTTTGCCTTGAACGAAATGTGCATTCATCTTTTTTTACTTTAATCTTAGGATGTAGATAATTTCAGTGTGTTTGAAACATGGGTGTACATCACATGCGAAATATAAGTGAAAGGACACTTAAAAAAAACATTATTATACTTATATAATGACACATGGCATACCGCTGGCCAGATGATATTGAAAAATCTCTCATTGGGATGTGCTTGAAATTTTGAGAAATATGGGAGTTTCCAAAACCATATTTTTACTAATCTGAATCTTAGTTAGACTTAAGCCATTGTACAGATGTCAAAGATTGGATAAATTTTGGCGTTCGAGACTAGTCAGACTAGGTGGACTGTTCGACCACCCACTCACAAATGAGTGAACTGTAATATTAGGGTTTTTACCTACTTATGATCTAAGTGGTACCTAAATGTAGAGAGGTTGACTGCTTTGTGAGTGGGTTGAACTTTTTATCTAGTTCTATTGTCAGCCATATAAATTTCTTCAAAGAGTATTATCGAGAGAATTTATATAATATAGAGGTAATTGTACCGTTATTTTTCATTTTGAAATCCAAAACAAGTTTTATGTTCGATTCTCTGCCATTCCGTAAGATAAAAAAATTGATGTGATCAGCCGGGGGGGACTTGACTATTTGATTGATTGGTGAGTGGTGGAGCTTCCCAACCTACGATCTTCATAACCAACTTGACCTATCAATAAAACGTAGTCCTTTATTTCATGCCTCGCTTTTAAACTACATCACTGTCTCTTCGATAGTATTTCCATTCATTTTTATCCTCAATTTTCTCCAAATCCTGCATCATTTTTATCCATACTGATGTTGCCTGCTTGCCAATTAAACTTTCTTCCATTTTTCATTTCATTCACGAGGATAAAGTTTGAATTACATGTTATTATTTTTTGTTATTGATATGTTACCTATCAATAGTATTCATGTATCGACACCATTTAAAGTAACTGACAAATATGTATCGATAACACGTCGATATTTTTTTCTTTTGATATATTATCTACCAATGTTATTGACGACTTATCAATCCGATATTAACTATCCGTCTTGTTAAATAACAAACATCATTTCCAATGAAAAAATGTTTATGGTAAGTGACATTTGGAACTTGGGGATAAGTAGCTGCCCATTAGCTAGCATTTGGTAATGGAGGATGGATGGATTAGCCCACGTAAGGACTAATTAAACAACTCCTTTGCCATCCCCAAGAATCTTGTTCATGAACAACTTTGACAAAATTCTCCCATTCAATTTTCAAAATTATTTTGTATAGATCCAAAATATTCACTTTCACAAAGTAAGTTTTTTAATTGTTTTTATTTTTTGTAGGCTCATGTGGAACTGAGTAGTCAGCCTAGTGGTTCATCGGCATAGCTGCAGCTGCTGCTTCTTCTTCTTCCTTCCTATTTTTCTTCTCACTTCTTACCGTCTCCTGACGCTTCCGGCTGCTAGTGCAACGCTGCAAATGCATCATCTGTAGAGAACAAGTGTGCAACTTTCGCGATTCTTCGCACTAACGCGTACTACTCCTCTCTCTCCAATCTGAGCGCTTACTTGGGCCTCAATCCGTTGGTGATAGCAGACGCGAACGGATTTTCAGCTAACACGGAGTTTCTTCCTAAAGACGAACTTTTGTTGATACGGATTGATTGTAAGTGAGGCAGTGGTGGGCTTGCTGATAAGCTTCAGTTGGTGATCCCCTTGAGATGTGCTTGTCCTTCATCATCTCAACTTGTGAAACAATCAAGACTTGATTTCATATCCGGTGAGTGAAGGCGAAACAATTTTTGAATTGGCTGTTAAGTTCAATACAACACAAGAAGCTATCGTATCTGCAAATAACAGATCATTCGAAAGCTTTAGACCCGAAAGTTTGACACCTATTACATCTCTTCTGATTCCGCTTGAAAGAAAACCTATACTCGGTCCCCTAGCAAAACCCCGGGAAACCAATTTGCGCTTTCCGGCAACTAGCATCCCAGCAATTAGTCCACACAATAAGAAGGCGAAGATGGACCAGATCGGGTTGTATGTCGTGCTTAGCGGAGTCACTGTTGGAGCCATCATTGCGATCGCGGCAGCATTCTTGCTACTTAAGATGAAGAAAAAGAAAACGACTTCACCAAAAGGATGTGATGTGGAGCTGCAACAGCTCAGCCTAAGTGTGAGGACAACAAGCGACAAGAAAGTCTCGTTTGAAGGATCTCAAGATACTTTTGTCAGTCAAATCGTCGAGACCACCACACCACGAAAGGCGCTGGTGGAGATGTATACAATTGAGGAGCTGACGAGAGCAACCGAGGACTTCAGTTCGAGCAACCATATCGAGGGATCTGTGTACCACGGCCGCCTAAGCGGGAAGAACTTGGCAGTAAAGCGCACGCAGCCGGACAGCATTCCGAAGATAGAGTTTGGCCTTTTTCATGACGCAATTCACCATCACCCCAACGTAATGAGGCTGTTGGGAACTTGCTTGAGGCCGGAGGGGGAAGAATCGTTTCTGGTTTTCGAGTACGCGAAGAATGGATCTTTGAAGGACTGGCTCCACGGCGGATTGGCAATCAAAAACCAGTTCATTGCGTCATGCTATTGTTTCTTAACGTGGAGCCAAAGGCTGAGGATATGTCTTGATGTGGCCATGGCATTGCAGTACATGCACCACATTATGAACCCCCCTTATGTCCATCGAAATGTCAAGAGCCGAAACATTTTCCTAGATGAAGAATTCAATGCGAAGATTGGGAATTTCGGCATGGCAAAGTGCGCTGAAAATGAAGCCGAGGATCAGAGCTTCGAGTACATGGCACCCGAATATCTTCAACAGGGTGTGATTTCTCCGAGCATTGACATATTTGCATACGGTGTGGTGTTGCTAGAGGTCTTGTGTGGACAAACGCCAATAAGCAGGCCGGGCGCTAAGGGAGAAGGAAACTTTTACCTGTCGGAGAAGATCAAATCCGTGTTGAAGTCAGACAATGCAGAGGAGCTAAGAGAGTGGATGGACAGCGCGTTGGGGGATAACTATTCGTTCGATGCAGCTGTCACATTGGCGAATCTTGCAAGGGCCTGCGTCGACGAAGACCCTAGTTTGAGGCCTAGTGCTGTGGAAGTTGTCGAGAAGTTGTCACGATTGCTGGAGGAGTCGAAAAGCGTGGAGGGAGAGAATATTTTTATCAGTGAGAGCTCTTGTAAGCCGCTGGTGAAGGCAGCAGCAGGGGCGAACAATAAGTGAATAAAGCATTGGAGGATGCAAACAGAAGACATGTTCTTCTGGGCGCTGTTACAAATGTTTCTACTTTTGTCTTAGGTTCTTGGCATAGGGTTCTTCTGCCTGTATATATATGTAATATCTTCGTTTCCTCAAAATTCAATTAATAAACGGCATTGGTACTACTAGGCACTAGCTACTTCATAGGTGCAGTACTTTATAGGCGCAGAGCTTCAACGGTTTTTTTATTTTTTTGAAAAGACCGGCAAGTAGTTTTGTCACGGTAATCCACAATTTCAAGGTCGGGAAGACTCATAAAGTTATTTCAGCTTATTCCGGCCACCATCATGTGATTCACACCCGCTAGGAATTCCATGTTGGACGTGTAATGAGTCTATTTTATACTATATATTTTCCTCTATTCTTGGTATATTTTGGTGAGATTTTGATGCTTTATTATGTATTTTCAATGTAGGTCATGTGAATCCTTTTTAAGCATAAATTAATCAAATGGTGGAATGTTTTAGTGATTCCAACTAAAGCAGGGTTGTGAATCTGTTAAGAATGTTGTGTCAAAATTTCATAATTTTATCCCGAAGCATCTGATCATGGAAAATTAATTTATGCCCAGCGTGCGATGCTTGCTAAGTAGGTTGTAGAGCTTATTTGCGCCTTTTGGGCTAGAACATGATGGACTTTGGACTTGGGCTCTTCTTGGAACTTGAAAAGGAGGTCTTAATCTTTATTTCTATTTCTGTGCTGGACATATTTCCTTTTCAGATTTAGATTGTGTTTTTAAGTTATCCTTTTGCTATTATATTTCCTACTTTTTAGAAGACTTTTAGGGGTCGTTTGTTTGACAGGACTAGGGAGGACTGGACTGGACTAGACTATAGTCCCTTGTTTGGTTTGTAGCAGGATTAGTTTTAATGACCTTAGGTCGGACTCGCTCGGATTATTCACCTCCTTACGCGTTCTTAACGAGGAACCCCAGTTTCGGGAGGACTCGTAAGCCCTGAGAGAAAGCTGCGAGAGAGTCACTCATCCAAGAACCTATGTCGCTTGTCCTCATCGCTGCGTCTTCCCTCATCGTCGTCCTTGCCCTGCTCCCTCATCGTCATCTTCCTCATTCTGATCTCTGCGCCTTCCCTCATCTGCATCTGCTCGCCCTCATCTGCTCCGACTTGTCTGGTAAACTTCGCATCTTCGCTTTATTTCGTCAATTTGTTTTGCAGATCATGGTATTACTGAGCTTCATTTGATTTTGTTGTTTTGGGTTTGAGAAATTTTCAATGATAGACCTCTGCACTTGAACAAATTAGGGTTTTGATTTTTAGGTCAAATTAAGATTAGAATTTGGGGTTTTCATATTTCAACTTTTCTTTCAAATCCTCAGGTGGTAAAAACCGCCATCACAAAATTTGCTCAGTGATGAAATCTAAGCCCTGAAATTTTGTTTCTTTTCGCGTTTTCTGAATTGGGTTTTTTGATTTTTCGGGTTTTGATGCTTTGCTTGTTTGGATTTTGTGAAGCAATTTCGTGTCTGGGTTTCACAAGAGGAAGAAGAAGAGGAGAAGGGAAGCTGAGCAGAAGCAAGGAGAGGCATTGCGGCGGAAACGTCTCAAGCTGTGCAAAAAGGTTGGATTTTGTGGCTGTTTTTTGGCCGTTTGATTGCCTATTTTGCATAATGTATATAGCTTGTTTACCACTCATTGGATTTTGATAGTTGGTTGATTTGGTTTTTAATCTCATTGTTGCGAAAAGTTGGTGTCTTTGCAAGAGGAATTACATTGAATTATGTTACTACTCTTTGGATTCTGTGAGTGATTTTTATATATACCCCGATTTTGTATATATAAATTGGTACAAGTTATTAGGTTCTTCAAATATTGGCTGCCTTTCAATGTTTAGAACTAACCCAACTTAAATAATGAATAATTTCTCTTTAGTTCTTGAGTGCCCTGCCTTTCTTTCATCTGGATCATAGAACAGAATATTAGGATATGGCCTTCTCAGAATCTAGAATATGTTTCTAGCACAGTGGATGTTTTCAGGATTTTGTTTTACCTCCACCATGTGCCATCAACAAGTTTATTAGTATAAACGTGTAGGATATGTAATCTATGTTCTGTTATCTGCCACTTTAAATCTTACTTCATTTTGTTTGTATTCGGTTTTAATTATTATGCGTTCAATTGTTCCAGGGGAATTCTATATCGACTACAAAGTACAACTTCATTACATTTTTGCCGAAAGGACTCTTTGAACAGGTAATTCACGGGCCTTCAATGAATTTGATTTTAGTTTTCAATCAATCTGCTTGCTGATGCAGTTCGAAGCTTATCTGATTTTTTGTGATGAAGTGTAGTTATATCATTTTGCTATGCGTTATGCATAAACAAATTGACTAGAGTGTATGTATGCAGTGTGTGTGTGTAGTGTAGTTATATCATTTTATTTTGTCATGGTCCTGAGAAGTTGTTACACTGCCAGTGTGTATGTATGCAGTGTGTGTGTGTAGTGTATGTAGTGTGTGTGTGTAGTGTATGTAGTGTGTGTATGTATGTACTGTGTTTGCAGTGTGTATATATGCAGTGTGTGTGTGTAGTGTGTTTGCAGTGTGTGTGTGCAGGGTGTATGCAGTGTGTATGTATGCAGTGTGTGTGTAGTGTATGTAGTGTGTGTAGTGTATGTAGTGTGTGTATATGTGTAGTGTTTGCAGTGTGTATGTATGCAGTGTGTGTGTGTAGTGTGTTTGCAGTGTGTGTGTGTGCAGGGTGTATGCAGTGTGTGTGTACTTGCAGGGTGTATGTGTAGTGTATGTATGCAGTGTGTGTGTAGTGTGTTTGCAGTGTATGTTTGCAGTGTGTATGTATGCAGTGTGTGTGTGTAGTGTGTTTGCAGTGTGTGTGTGCAGGGTGTATGCAGTGTGTGTGTACTTGCAGGGTGTGTGTGTAGTGTATGTTTGCAGTGTGTATGTATGCAGTGTGTGTGTGTAGTGTGTTTGCAGTGTATGTTTGCAGTGTGTATGTATGCAGTGTGTGTGTGTAGTGTGTTTGCAGTGTGTGTGTGCAGGGTGTATGCAGTGTGTATGTATGCAGTGTGTGTGTGTAGTGTATGTAGTGTGTGTAGTGTATGTAGTGTGTGTATATGTGTAGTGTTTGCAGTGTGTATGTATGCAGTGTGTGTGTGTAGTGTGTTTGCAGTGTATGTTTGCAGTGTGTATGTATGCAGTGTGTGTGTGTAGTGTGTGTGTGCAGGGTGTATGCAGTGTGTATGTATGCAGTGTGTGTGTGTAGTGTATGTAGTGTGTGTAGTGTATGTAGTGTGTGTATATGTGTAGTGTTTGCAGTGTGTATGTATGCAGTGTGTGTGTGTAGTGTGTTTGCAATGTGTGTGTGCAGGGTGTATGCAGTGTGTGTGTACTTGCAGGGTGTGTGTGTAGTGTATGTTTGCAGTGTGTATGTATGCAGTGTGTGTGCAGTGTGTGTGTACTTGCAGGGTGTGTGTGTAGTGTATGCAGTGTGTGTGTGTAGTGTATGTAGTGTGTGTATGCACTGTATGCAGTGTGTGTATGTATGTATGCAGTGTGTGTATGTATGTATGCAGTGTGTGTGTGTGTACTTGGTTTATAACCATGATATTACAATGTGAATGTTTTGTATTGTGTGGGGTTGATGCTGAATTGCAATTTTTTGTGGTTGTTGGTTGTAGAGAAGAGGAGCATAAACGGAAGGCTAAGGCTACTGCATTACAGGTGTCCTTTAATTTCCCTTTTCACATGCAATGCCTAGCAATGATAGCAATCCTCATACTAGTGTTCTTAGACACATGTTTATAGATGTATAAGAGTAGAACATTTTGAATATGATGGCTCGGGTTAATGAAAACTTTTTTTTTCAACGCCACCTGTATATTTGTTGCCTCGGGTTAATGAAAACTTTTTTTTTTTCAACGCCACCTGTATATTTGTTGCCTCGGGTTAATGAAAACTTTTTTTTTTTCAACGCCACCTGTATATTTGTTGCCTCGGGTTAATGAAAACTTTTTTTTTTTTCAACGCCACCTGTATATTTGTTGCCTCGGGTTAATGATCTAGTTAATTTGTTTTTTGTTTTTTGTTTTGTTTGGATAGATATGGATCGAAGGAAGCTTTTATTGATCTTATTGTTAGAGATGTCTTATTTGAAGACAATTTGTATTTGTACGATTCTTGTGGTGATGATGCTACGTGGCAAACAGAGACATGTTGAACGACCCACATTGACTAACCGTTCACTTATTAGACGAGAGATTAGTTTGTGTTATCTGAATGGTATAATAGGGAATACTGATACTGAATGTGTCAACGAATTGAGAATGGATAGAAGGACTTTTGGCATATTATGCGACTTACTTCGTCAAGATGGGAGGGTAAAAACTGATGGTTTGGTGTCTGTAGAGGAACAGGTGTGTATGACTTTACAAAATATTAGCACATCATACTAAGAATCGTAGTGTTGGCGGTAGATTTTATAGGTCGGGAGAGACTATAAGTAGGTATTTCAATAGCGTATTGCAAGGAATTTTGCGATTACAAGGTATCCTACTAAAAGTCCCCCAGCCTGTGCCTATTGATTCTACAGATCCTAGGTGGCGATGTTTTAAGGTATGATGAGAAATTTTTTTCATTTTCCCTAAGCTTTAACTCTTCATTCCCTTTGTATAAATTAACAAAAACTTTTTTTATTTTTTATTTTTAAGAATTGCTTGGGAGCATTGGATGGAACACACATTGATGTGCATGTACCTGAAATTGACAAACCAAGATACCGAACAAGAAAGGGTCGAGTCGCAACTAATGTGTTAGGTGTGTGTGTTCAGGAGATATGCAGTTCATATATGTGTTTCCGGGGTGGGAGGGTTCCGCATCAGACTCTAGAGTGCTACATGATGCAATTAGTAGGCCTAATGGTTTTAAGGTACCAGCGGGTAAGACTATTACTTAGTCTCAACTTTGTAAGTTAGGTTTTAGTTCTGTTTGTCAACTACAAAACACTAATAAGGTCTATTTTTTTTTCCATTAGGTTGTTATTACCTTGTAGATGGTGGTTATACAAATGGTGAAGGATTTCTTGCACCCTATAGAGGAATACCTTATCATTTATCTGAATGGGAGGGACGAACACCTTCTAATAAGGAAGAATATTTTAACATGAAGCATTCTAAGGCAAGGAATGTAATTGAACGCTGTTTTGGCCTGCTAAAAGGAAGGTGGTCGATACTAAGGAGTCCATCTTTCTATCCGATAAGGACACAAGGTCGAATAATTACCACTTGTTGCCTACTACACAATCTTATTAGGCAAGAGATGTCTGTAGATCCAATGGAGAATTTGCCAATAATAGAAGATGGACAAAATACAGAAGAAGGTGAATATGTTGGTAGTGTTCAAACATCGGACCAGTGGACTGCAATGAGGAATGATATGGCTCAGGAAATGTATAATGAGTGGAGAGCAATTAGGAACCAGCAACCGAACTAGCTATATGTGTTAATGATAACATTTTATTTTAGTATTCCTTTTTTATCATGCATTTGTTAGATATTAGCACAATGATTGGATGGTATGCAAATTAATTGGATGTTATGCAAGTTGATTGGATATTATGCAAGTTGATTGGATATTAAGCAAATTGATTATTTGTATGGTATTTTCCTTCATTAAAATATTTTTTGTTTAGGTATGGATAACGAAAATTTTTTGAATTCTACTCAAGAGCCAAAAGGAAGAAGGCGTAAATGGGAAGCATTTGAGGAAGAAGTATTACTAGGAGTTCTTGAGGATTTTTGTTGCTCGGAAGCAACGGTGTGACACCGGTGCTTTCAAACAAGGTACTTTGGTTGAAATAGCAAAAGCTGTCAATGTTTTTATGTCCTCATTCAAATATAAAGGCAAATCCACATATTGAATCCAAGTTGAAGAAATGGAAAAAAAACATATAGTATGGTCGTTGACATGATAAACACAAGTGGATTTGCATGGAATGATGTCAAAAAGTGCGTTGAAGTTGACAGTGATGACGCATGGCAAACTTATGTGCAGGTTCATATCCTATTTTATTTATGCATTAGTTAGATTCTTGCTGCTATATATTTGTTACGCATGCTAAATTTTAGTTTTGCTATGTTGATATAATCTTAGAGAAATAAAGAAGCCGATGGATGGAGAAGCAAACCTTTTCCACTGTTTGATAGATTTGCATATATATTTGGAAAAGATCGGGCTACGGGTAATGTAGCCGAAACCCCTGCTCAAATGATGGAGGAACAAAGTCATGATCATGTTGGTGAAAGTGATATTGGAGGTGAAAATTTTTGTTTCTTCAATGAACCAACAAAGCCAACAAAAGCACCCCATCTGAAAATAGCCAAAGAAAGAGGAAAAGAGCTGTGGGAAGTTCAAATGATGGAACCGAGGCAATTATCAGTGGATTGAAAGATTTTTATGTTGAAAGTGGGAAGAGGATGCAAATGGTAACTGAAGCTTTAGTTCAAGGTACTGCAGATCATACTGACATAGCTAATGAACTTGAAGCAATGGGTCTCTCTCCTATGGATCAAATTGATGCATTGTCTCTTATTTTGGATAAACCAAAAAATGTGGGAGTGTTCAGGGCAATCAAACCGGAACTCAAGAAAGTGTTCGTCCAAAGGCTTTTAAGCGACAACGCAAGCGGATGAGGATTTTGGCTAATGTTAACATGGATGTATTTTATTAACGTTAACATGGATGTATTTTATTAATCATACAATCTTATGTTATGACTTATAACTTAGCTTTGCACTAGTATTTTGGCTTATGTTAACTAGCCATTTTTGTAAATTATAGAGATCTATTTTGGCTAATGTTAACTAATGTTAACTAGGATTTTCTAAATTATGGAGATCTTATGTACTTGTATTTGTTGAAGTTGCATGTATTGGCCACTATTATGGCGCGTTTACTAATCCGTAATCAAATTGAGAGGAATCGGATTGAGGAGGAATTTGATTGAGGAGGAATTGAAATGAGGTGGAATCAGAATCAGATTCTTGTTGAAATTGTTTACTAAAAACTGTCTGGAATCGGAATACAATTCCATAAAGCTGTTTACTAATTCAGCAGAATCGGAATATAAACCAGTATGATTACTAAAATGCCCTTGTCCCAAATCAAATATTTTATATACTTTTTTTTAATAAAATTTGATATAGTATATAATAGTAACAAACTGATTTTGCATTGAGTAACAAACTGATTCTGCATGAAGTAACAAATTGATTCTGCATTGAGTAACAAACTGATTCTGCATGAAGTAACAAACTGATTATGCATTGAGTAACAAAATGATTCTGCATGTATTTAGGAGTTACTTTAGATCGATTGAATTTACTCTAGGTCGACTGATAAATAAAATGGGTCGACTGATAAATAGAATGGGTCGATAAATAGAATGGGTCGACTGATAAATAGAATGGGTCGACTGATAAAGGCAACAGTCAGCCCTTTTACACAGAATTAGTTCAATACATAAGCCGACTGAAGTAATTGGGTCGACTGATAAATAGAATGGGTCGACTGATAAATAGAATGGGTCGACTGATAAAGGCAACAGTCAGCCCTTTTACACAGAATTAGTTCAATACATAAGCCGACTGAAGTAATTGGGTCGACTGATAAATAGAATGAGTCGACTGATAAATAGAATGGGTCGACTGATAAAGGCAACAGTCAGCCCTTTTACACAGAATTAGTTCAATACATAAGCCGACTGAAGTAATTGGGTTGACTGATAAATAGAATGGGTCGACTGATAAATAGAATGGGTCGACTGATAAAGGCAACAGTCAGCCCTTTTACACAGAATTAGTTCAATACATAAGTCGACTGAAGTAATTGGGTCGACTGATAAATAGAATGGGTCGACTGATAAAGGCAACAGTCAGCCTTTTTACACAGAATTAGTTCAATACATAAGCCGACTGAAGTAATTGGGTCGACTGATAAATAGAATGGGTCGACTAATAAAGGCAACAGTCAGCCCTTTTACACATAATCAGTTTAAGTAAAGCATTAACTTTAACATTTCCATCCTAAATTTTTTTTCTGGACTTTTACACTACGACCCCTTGTGGTAAGATTCCTGGCTCCGCCACTGGTTGTGCATAATGTGAATGAGCATAGAATTATGCTTAATGAGCAAGAAGGACATGGAAAGAAATTATTAGGAGCATTTTCAGTCTTAACTCTTCAAGAATATATTTTGCTACATAATGTCAACGAGTAGAAGAAATTTTGTTTTACCATTTCAAATCAAAAAACTTGATTCCCCTTGAACTAAAGTGATCTTCAAGAGGTGGATTTTGTATAATAGTAAATAAATGAAGAAAAAAATATTAGTAACAAACAAAGAGTAGGAAATAACTTCATTAAAGTTAATATTTTACATTAAAGTTAATATTTTACATTAAAGTACATCTATCTAACCACCATAACCAACCTAAGCAAACTTGTCATACCCTGCGTATGCATCATATTATCAAATATTCATAACCTGCCTACACATCAGATTGTCAACAAAATATTCTTAACCTGCCTAAACATCATAATATCAACAAAAAGTAGTTCTTCACCATTATGGTGTCATCTAATAAGTCATTAGATTTACAAAACATTCACAATTTTCCCTGATATGTCATTATGGCAGTAAGCACGTCATAGCAAAAAAATAGCATTCACATTATTTGGACCATCACTTAGATGTCGTTATGCATCCAAGTCTGCAACAAAGTAGTCACATATGCACTCTTCCTTTCATCAGACATGTTGAAAAACACCCTCAAAAGGTCATGTTCTTTGGCCAAGAAGTTAGTGACTTTAAATAAATCCATGGGAGACAAAAACTCCATTTTGGTCAACTCACTGTCAAGTTTTTGTTGCATTTCGGTCAGATTTATATCGGTTGACAGTGCATGAACTAGACCATCAATCTTAGGTCCCACATCGGCTATAGCTTTAGCCATAATAGAGAATTGCTTGGCCATTTCATCCGCTACTCTTGTCCTTTTGCGACTAATGTTTGATGTGTTACTTTCTGCATTCCTTTGTTGTTGGGTATTTGGTACTGAGAAAGAAGTATCAAAGTCATTTCCACTTTCATCCTCACCTTCATGTTGATTGACATTGGCATCTTTAAGTCTAACTTCTTCTTCATCGTCATCAGCGTTACCAGCATTTGCACCCATAGCACGATCTTTTGCATAAATCTCTCCCAAACTGTGGTAGTGCGGAAAAGGCTTATCGTACAATCCACTTGCATCCTTTTTACCCTACAAAAAAAAAAACACAAAACACAAGGCGTGTAATACAATATATTAATTCTTGGTCTATTACAAGATGAAGAGGGCAGCGTAAAGAGGAAGAAGTGAAAAATCGATCTTTGAAGAAAGGACAAGAGGCAGAACAATTAATAATGGACAGGGCAGGATGTTTTGACGTGTGCTAGCTATGGAAAACAAAAAAAACAATGTTAAGTTTTTCCTTTTTTCAGAGGGATGATGGGTGAACCTTTCCGAAAAGATATACATATATATATATATATATATATACTCTTTTATGTTGCCACACAAGCTGGCAGATCAACAGATCATCTATAAGTTTGTCATAACTCTTTTTTCTTTACAGTATGAAAGAGCTGGTATTTAAAAAAGCTATGTCTTTCATACAAGTCTCAGTTTTTGTTTATGTGCACTGTAATCCTTCTAATATCTAGCTTCAAGTGGTTTCTGAGTGTATGGTGATGGTGTCAGTAAAGAACTTGGAATTACCTCCCATGGAGGTTTTTCTTTTTCTATGTATGTTGTTAGTGCATTATCCTGATTCGTAATTAAGAAGATGATGATATTAACTCTGAGATTTTGAACTCAGTGTAATTAATCAAGGAACTGAGATTCTAAAAACAAAACACAATCAGATAAAACAAAAAATACAATCAGATATACGCAAACCTTCGTAGCCTCGTCATACGCACTTTTCTCACAAGCCAACATCATTTTCTCTTCATTCCACTCAAACCCACTGAGAGCTAGCAATTCAGTTAAGGCAAAATATTTCTTCTGTTCGGTGATAGAGTTTAAATCAAGCTACATTTGCAAATTAAACCCAATTCTATTAGCAGGTAATAGAAACAAAACAATTGTCAATTTTTTTTAAGATTCATAATATACGTGGCAAAAATATGCTCCAATTAACCCATATCATGAGATTTGTAGCATTACTCTATTACACAATGGCAAAAATTTGTAGTCCTAGTCTAAGCAAACACAAATCTGGTGAACAGTACTGTTTTTCTTATCCTGCTTCTTAGTCCGAGACTGCACCAAACGCTTCACTAAGTTAGTCCAGCTTAGTCCAGTCTAAGCCAGTCCAGCTTAGTCCCGGCAGCTAGTCCAGTCCGAGACAGTCCGGCGCAACAAACGCACCCTTAGGGTTTAGCAAGGATTTTAATTTGTAGTAGTATAAATAAGGTTTTTTAGTCATTAGGGTTCTCTACGCGGCATTAAGAGAACTTAGCAAACCTTTGGAGAATTTCTAACTTTTTACCTACAATGTGTTTTCAATCATTTTTCTAGTTAATGATATTTTCTTTAGTTTTTATTATGATTATGCGTAACTAGTCATTTTGCTAGGGTGAGGCCACGTGTCTTAGTATGATTATGTGATTTTATTGATTTGCTTATAAATGGATGCATATTTGCTTTGAATTATTAATCACTGATATAACAATGTGACCACATTTTATTTGGTGGTCGGACAAGACACCAAATAAAAAAAATAAAATAAAAAATTTGGTGGTCAGACAAGACTCGTGATCAAGGCGTCACACCTAAATTCTATCTACACGGTTGTCCAAAAAAACTTACAAATGACCAAACTTGTAGCTCTCACAAGTTTCTAACACTCACACAAAACCTGTTACATGTCCAAGCCTTAAGCGTTGGCAACGAAAGAAAGAAAATCCAGACAATAACAAACAGAAAATTTCTGTTAACTTACATCCAAATTATATAACTACTCAGGAGGATGATAATACTGATGAATTGTGTATACTGTCTGCAACATTGTGAGAACCAGCAGAATAAACGCCGCAACCAAAGAAATAATCGCCCACGGCGTACCAAAATACTCGCGCCTCAGCTTTTCCATCCACTTGTTCCAGTTAGTGTTGTAATGCTGATTCACATCATCGCAGAGTCCCCCGTAGTAGAATCTGATGACCACCGTGTCACTGTGCAGATGGTTGAAGAACTGTGCAGCATCTTCCGGGCTCAACCAGTTTGTCAGTATTCCCTTCTCGCAAAGAAGGTCGATGTCCTTGCTCGTATCGATGAGATTATCCATCAGGACGGCGTAAGACGTTATCATCAGGTCGAAGTCGTAGCATTGCTCGAAGGCGATGAGGTTCCTGAAGAGCGGTCCTGTCAGCTCGTGAATTTCTAGTGGTGGAATAGTGAGCACCCCTTTTTGAACTTTATGTCCATTTCGGAACTTTTTTGGAATTTAATGCCGGCTTCGGACAGAGTTGTCACGTTTGGAAGCCTCTGCCGCTTGCTTAGCCGTTGGGCTTTATTCTTTTCATTTTGTTGGGAGACAGAATTTTCAATCGGCATAACGATCAGGGTTCTCATGAGATCAAGTATGTGCAGGATATTGGGAGAGGGATGCAGAATTTTTCGGAATCCAGTACCATCGCCCCAAATGAATTGGCTGAAGAAGTGTTCGACAAGGTCGGCTAGGAAGATAGCATTTCCTTCGCTAGAAGTATTCTTCACGGTGGTTATATCGTATAACCGCTCGAGAACAAACCATGGGAGCTGACTTTCTAGCAGGAGAATGTCATGCTGAAGATATCCCAGCATGCAGGGTACATGGAAAACAGGGTCGTTCTCTTCTAGTTCAACAGTGTCGTTCTCGTCTAGTTCAACAGGGTCGTTCTCGTTCTCGTCTAGTTCAAGGATGTAAAGTCTCCGAAATAGTTCGATTCGGAAGCATCCGTCGAGTACCATCATCTCAACAAAGTCTATCTTGTTGAGATGATCCAATGGCTCTGCGTAACAATTGCGAGCAGGCTTGTCCAAATCCATGACACCTTTGATCAAGGTTTCCAAAGTTAGGTTTGCTTGTGAGAGAAGGCGCTGTAAGTACCAGCCCTTCACATTTTCCATGAGTCGGAATTGATTGCCACTGCGGCCACGGTGAAAGGGTCCGATTGAGACGATGTCAGGTTCGTATGCTTGTACGTTTTGTCGCCGAACCTGGTGGGGAACTCTGAAGATGCAGCTGGATGCTGGCAATGGCGAATCATGGAGAAGCTTTTTTGCGATGTTGTTTTTCAATTTTTCTACAATACCGCCATTGTCTACAACAATGGATTCCATGGAAATACTATCATCAACTTCGTTAGTTTTTCTCTCACTTTCCATGACTGCAGATATTTTTAAAAATTCTGAACCAAATTGCAACCAAACAAATTCTGAAGTATTTATAAAGGATAATACTTAGTGCATTCGCTTAGAAGTAGGCAACCTTTATATCCCCGATAATCACAGTTTGACACGGGTGCAGAACGATAGAATAAAATGGGATGGGCACCATGCACCTGAAAATCAAACAAATGCAATTATGTAGGACGTTAATGAGAAGATGATTAAGCAAATCAAAGTGTAAGTGTAAACACGAAAATCCTGCGACAAATGAGACAAGAACACGTGTACAAAATCATTGTTTGTATTAATGGGTTTGTAGGGTTACAATCTCTTTACAACTTAATCATCTGATTCGATCTCCAAAATGTGTAGATGTGTAGTGTTTTGATCAAAGGGTCGCGATGACTTGATCTTGGATGAACGAATGCCGCAAGGTTTTGGCTCCTGGCAATGGAGAAACCGGCACGTGTAGGGGTGCTTGGTGGTTCTTCATGGGTTTTGGACGAAGAACATGAAGGATTTTTTGAGTCTTCTTGAGTGTTTGAGTGTTTGGGGGGTTTTGAGTGCTTGATAGCTTAGCTTTAGAATTTCAAAGCTTCAGCGTCTGGGCGTGAAATGATTTCTGGACCCTTTTCTTTGTCTCGAAGCCTCTTATTTATAGACTTTCCAAGCCTTGACTATAAATGGATTTGGCCTTCATTGTGGGCTTTATTAATTGACGAAAGAACCAGGACTTGATTTGTGGGCCGGTTCGTGATTTGACTCCATCATTTAATATTTGATTTAATTAAATTAAAATCAAATAATTCAATTCCACCAAGTGTTGACATGTGTCATTCTTGATGACTCGTCCGATTTTGTTGAGTCACACGCCATGTGTACAATTTGTGAGACACATGGCATATGCTATGTATGCTCTGACATGTCGAAACTTTAATGCGTTGGTGAACATTTATTTCATCGAAATTTCAATGTCTACAAATGCCCTCGCGTGTCGTATACATGTGTTTGTCACGTGTAGAAGATGTGTTTTGGAAGTCCCTTAATGTAGATGCCAATTCAAGGGCCGTCAAGCTTGATGAAGAACACGAGTGTTTGTTTTGGCTAGAGAGCTTTCTGAAGCCAAATTTGATTCAAGGGTGGTGCACACTTGATCTTGAATCGGATTTGTGATTTTTTTTTCAAGGGCCGTCGAAACTTGTTCTTGAACAATCGGGATCACGAGTAATGTCACATGGCTAGTGATCTTCAACTTTGTTGGGAATGAATCGGCACGTATTTGTTGTGCTTGTTAATTCTCCGCGATCTTGGTGAAGAACATGAGTGTTTTCTTTGGCCAGAGAGCTTTGATTTCCTCCAAAGGTTTGGCTTTGCTTCATTTCTTTGGAGTCAAATTTGATCCAAGGATGGTTGACACTTAATCTTGAATCAGACTTGTCATTTCTTCAAGGGCTGTCGATGCTTGTTCTTGAATGAAATGGGACCACGAGCGGTTTCACATGGTGAGTGATCTTTGGCTTTGGTAGTGGATGAAGCATCACGTGTTTGTTGTGTTTGTTGGTTCTCCACGAGCTTGATGAAGAACACAGTTGTTAAGTATTGAGAGATTTTTGGATGTCTAGGGCTTCGCCTTACTTCCTTTTGTTCTCCTTACTTATGAACGAGTGCCTAATATTCATAGGCAAATAATTGGGCTTGATTTGAAAGACCCAATTGCAGCTAGACTCGAGCTGCTGCTTTGTGCCATCCACGTATATATACATATCTGTACATATATATACACACACAGAGACTGGCACCATCACTTTTTCCTTTATTATTATTATTATTTTGTTGGCTTCCCACACGCCACCTTCACTTATCAAATGATGACAATCATTGATTTTTTATGACTTTGCTTTCCACACGCATGGCTTCTTTTTTTATCTCTGTTTTTTTTTAGGACTTTTTTTCCTGATTTGTTCCTGTTGTCTTCCCCGTCCTAGATTCCTGATTTCAGGAGAAGAAGTCACGGCATCCTTGAAAAGCTTTTCCAAATTCGGAGGATGTGATTGAGGTTTGACTTCTGGGAGGATTTCTTCCTTCACACTTGAAAATGAGCCGATCTTCTGTGGAGCATCCCAAGTTGTTTTGCTTTTCATCACGCCACCATCAATTTTGCCTTTTGATTTTCCTTTATGATTTCCTTCAATTTTGCTTTCTTTCCCTTCTGAATTCCTCGATTCCCTTTGACATACTTCCTTCAATTTGATTCTCTTGGGTCTATAAATTGCAGAGACCCTAATTGCACATCCATCTCTCATCTCTTGCCGTGGCCTTTGGTACAAACGTCGCTGCATAGATTTTCCTAAGCCCTACTCATGCGCAGATTAACATTCATCCTCCCATTTTTATTTGATTCCTTTTTCAGGTAACGCTATGCGTCGTCCCTCCCCGCGTGGCCCTCAGATCTCGCCACAAGGGAGAGTGCTTGCCGCAGAGGAGTTGCTTACTGGAATGGAGGCTTTTCTCTGCAAAGGAGTGTGCTCGTCGCAAGGAAGTGTGATCCTCGCAAGGGAATGTGCTCACCACAAGGGAGTGCAACTCATCACAATGGAAGCTGCTCGTTGCAAGGCAATCTGATTAACGCAAGGGAGTGAGTTGCAATAGAGGTGTGCTTGCCACAAGGGAGTGTGATCACTGCAAGGGAGTGTTGTTAGAGTATAAGTGTGATTCTTACAGTTTAGTAATAATCATTGTTATTTTAGATTGGTATAAAGAGATCTTAATGTGTTTATAAGAGTTAATTCAACTTTGGTTTGGATTGAAACTCTAACTCATACTTATTCAAGGATTTGGTCTTGTATTCCTTGTAGGATTGTAATAGGGCAATCTATGTTTAGTATAAAAACATAAGCCACTGCTCTCACAAAACATACGCTCAATATTGAACTAAGACCTATTGTTAGTTTGAGTACTTTTGGTTTTGCAAGAGAGGAGAAGGTGCACTGTTTAAAAGTTTGCTTTGGCTTCTACTGTTTTTACGGTCTTACAATACAACCACCACATTACGACATTCACCACAACAAGGATCAGACAGTGGAGGTGCTGTTCTACCATCATGAGCATAATGAGCTTTTGAAGTCGGTCCAAGAATGGATAAATGAAACGGCAGAGTCATGCTCAATCGTAGCGGTGCTAGTGGCCACTGTGGACTTTGCGATCGTCTACGCTATCCTACGGGTTAGTTTGTTATTGTGTTTATTGAATTGTGATTTTAATACTTGTATAAATTTGTGGTTCATGAGCTTAATCTCTTAACTTATAAATTGGATAAGTTTAGTCTTACAAGTGTTGCTCACCGCAATGGAGATTGCTCACTGCAAAGGAATGTGCTCGTCGCAAGAGAGGCTGCTCGTTGCAAGAGAGGTTGTTCGCCGCAAGAGGTGGCTTGCCGCAAGGGAGTGTGCATGCTGCAAGAGAGTGCATGCCACAAGGGAGTCGTAAGACTGCACACATTTCCTTTGCTTGCGAAGATAAGGACACATCATTGCCTACGAGGATGAGCTATTGTGACGACAAGTTATGACGTCATTGTGAAGACAAGTTGTGATGCTGCTGTGATGACGAGTTTTGATGCTGTTGCTGGCTACCATTGTTGCAAGTGTCACTTCTGCACCTACACCGCCTCTGGGACAGCACTGCCTCTGATGCACATTACGCTTGTGGTTGCATCGCCTCCGGGATTCTCTACTTCACATTGCTCTTGCCGCTTGCTCGTTCGTGGAAGACATATATGCATTGAAGACCTTGGAAGGCTTGCTCATGATTCAGCTGCACAACGTGGAAGACTTAGTCTTAGAGTGATGGCTTGATCTTGCATCTTTGTCTCAAAGGTTGGAACGTTTATTTTTTTTTCATTTTTATGTGACTGAACTCGACTTTCATTTTCGAGCTGCCTACGTACCACTAAAAAAAAGAGATCAAGTCATAACGTAGTTAAAATATATATATATATATATAATTTTTTTTTTTGGTCCTAACTTTTGCTTGAGCCACCCTTTCGGGTTTTCAACTCAACGAACTTTTTTTTTTTAGTGTCGTACGCAGTTTATGCTCTTGCGGGTCAGGAGCATTTGTTGTCGCCTTTTAGGCTCGTGCGTACGAGGAGCTTTGTTTGTTGTCTTTTAGGCTCGTGCGGACGATGAGCATTTGGTGTCTCCTTTTAGGCTCGTGCGGACAAGGAGCGGTTGGTGTTATGTTGTAGTTTCAGCTTGTGCAGACAATGAGCGTTTAGGGCCATGTTGCAGTTTCAGCTTGTGTAAGCAATGAACATTTGACGTGAATTTGTAAAGCGATCTTAGAGAGATGTTCCTCGCAAATTTCATAGTAAGAAGTCATGACCAATTGATTCTTGAAGAAGTATTCGGGGAAGAAATCGCGCATCGTGATGGGGATGGACGATCTTCGTATCAAAGTTTCATCATCTTCAACCATTATATGCCAGTTTAGATGTTGATGAGAGCTTATTTGCCTCCTCCATGATTTGTCAACTTGTGGACAAGGCGTATGCTTCTTGCGCGATGTTTCTAGAGTGACATGAGTTTATCCTTCAACTTCACTCGGCTTGACTGACATGGTTTTAGAGCATGCGCCCAGCGATTGAGGCGAAGATGTTGACTCAAAATAGCCAAAAGTGACGGTGGTATGGTTTGGCTCCATAACATCATCAAGATCTAAGTCGATCACTCATTCTTGGGCCAGCTTTATGATGAGATTTTCAGCATGAAGCATTTTTCGACCGGATGACTGATGACGCGATGGTATTTGCAATATCTTGGGTTGGACTCGATTCATTTCTTTCGACTGCTTGCACTCAAGCAACTCGATCACCTTGTTGTCAAGCAAATCTTTCAACATGGCAGCCACATCGGTGTTGGGGAACAGGTAAGTCTTATCCTCAAGCTCATTTAAAGTGCGCTTGTACTTCTCCTGATCATGAAAAGGTTCATTTCGCT